CACAGTACAGTTAGACTACCGGAATAATTACATTCTTCCCTAGCACTTGTAAGAGCCACGGTGTAATTTGAGTACCGGAATAATTACATTCTTCCCTAACACTTGTAAGAGCCACGGTGTAATTTGACTACCGGAATAATTACATTCTTCCCACTATTCGTTGGTAAAGAGTAGCCCAAGAGTTGGCGGTGGGTGGTGTTGACTAGCTGCCTTCCCTCTAATTTATCACTTCAAGATTAGGGACGGCTAAAGCGAAAAGCTCTCGAGTAGCTATGCGCAAAATGAAACAAACAAACAAAGCCTAAACTTACCGAAATAATAGGACAAAATTCGTGCAAAATACGAATTCGTCAGTCCATAATGAAACTGAAACCCTTTGTGTAATACAGTAGTATAAACACCTGTGTTGTTTGTTATTAAGCACAAGGCTACACAAAGGGTTATCTGGACTCTGCCCACCACGGGTATCGAACCCGGTTTCTAGCAGTAAAATCCGCAGGCATACCGCTGTGCCACTGGGGGGCAAACACCTATGTTATAGAGAAAAATGGGAGATTTACCTATTTATTACACAACACGGTATATAATACGAATGTCATCCTGAAATAACCTTGTACGTTAGTTTCTAAACAGTTGACAACAAACAAAAGACCAGGTAACAGTCATTAAGTCAATAGCAAATTGTGGTATGTTTAAACTTTGACCACTTTACAAACACGACAGTCAAGCTAGGATACAAAATGCTAAATTTTTCTTTATTTTCGCGTGAACTCAGAAGGTTGTTACTGTCCACGTGTTCTAGGAATGAAGCTTCTATCGCTGGTGCCAGTCTAGATAACTCTGTTGTTTCAAAGATAAGTCTAATATTGATCGTTTACACATAGCGAAACTTCCTGCCAACTTTCTTGTCAAGGGTTGTTTCAACTATCAGGAATACCGTCGGTACTCGAACATAGGTTTCTCCAGATTCAGAGACCTGTTCCCTAAACAAAGGAAAAATTACTTATTTGCTATTTTTTTGTCTTTTGTCAATCATTGGAAATTTTTCCAAGTGCTTTCCGTTTCCTTCATCTTTCAATTTACTTATTATTTGGTTTTAGTTTTGTTTTATGTATTGGTTTGATTTATTTTATTCGGCGTGGTTTCATTTAACAGGCGTTTAATGTGTATTAAAGTGTTGTTTGTCTTATATTTTGTCTCATTTTTCGTCATTCATCACATAACAAATCTTTTATTTTCCTTTCATCTACTAGGCCTACTTGTCAGATTGTGGTCATTCTTTAACCAGGATATTGGTTTGGTGTGTTTTAAATTTCGCGCAAAACTACACGAGGGCTATCTGCACTGTTAGCCGTGATTGTTGACATATGTAAACAAACGCTTAGGATTCAATTATTTCCTCTCTCCTGATCGGAATTTAGGTCTTTGTGACCTAGGAGGGTCAGGTACTCTGAGACCTC